CAGTGCATGGTGGTCGTGACTTCTAACTTGCTATATAGCTGAGGATGGCCTTGAATTCTTATCTTCAGCCTCCCAAGTGCTGGGATCATAGGTATACACCACCATACCTTACTCAGCCAGTGTCTTCATACATTTAAATGGCTGTTGTATAAGGCTATAATGCTAAATAAGATATATAAAGCATTTATTATAATGTTTAGTAGGGAAATATGCATTAAAAGATACTTATTTATTAAATCTGTCTAGAAACTTCTATAGCAACCAAATTCCTTTCATTGAGGCACTTACCAAATTCTGTGCAGTTGTCTTGATTATGATGTCAGTTTAACCTCCCCCTTTGAATTCTCGTTATATAACAATTAGAAGTACCTTTTATATCATGGCTTAGTGTTCTAGTTTCTCCATTGTGGTAACAAGTTCCAGGCCAGCTCAAAAACTCCAATATATATTTCTAGTTTGCTGTCAGTTGCTGTGACAAAATACTCTGACCAATACCAGCTTGGGGGGGAAAGGGTTTATTTAGCTTACATCTCCTGGGTCACAGTTCACCAGGGAGCCCAAGGTAGAAATTTGGGGCAGGAATCTGGAGACAGGAGCTGAAGCACAGACCATGGAGGAATATTGCTTAGTGGCTTGTTTACTCCCCTGACCGGTGCTCAACCTGCTTTCTTATACAATACAGGACCACCTTCCCAGGGATAACCCTACCCACAGTGGGCTGGGCCCTCCCATCTCACTTAATAATCAAGAAAATGCCCCACAAGCATGACCACAGGCCAATCCAATGAAGGAAATTCCCCAATTGAGATTCCCTCAACCCAGGTGTGTCAAGTTGACAACTAAAGCTATCCAGCACAGTTGACCCCTTGTCAACTTAACATAGAACCACATCACCACCTTTCTATTTCTTGTCCCCAAGATACATTAACAATTCCACAACCATAAGACAGTACAGTCTTATAAGTCCCACAGTCTTTAAAAACTCCAAACTCTTACAACTTCACAGCCTCTTTTAAAACTCAACTGTGGGCTCCTATAAAATCCAAAACAAGTACTGTTATTTCAAAAGGGGAGAATCGGGCACACCTAAGCAAAACTTAAGTCCAGCAAAGTAGCTCAAGGCTGAATACCTGGGATTCACTCACTATCTTCTGAGCTCCAAAGGGTTTCAGCAGCTCCACTTCTCCTACTCTGTCCTCTGCAACACACACAGATCATTTTTCAGGCCCAGGCCAGCTCCATTCCATGCCTCCTGCTGCCTTGTGGGGTGGTCACATGGTCCTAGCATCTCCCAAAATCTGGAGTCTCTGCTGAAACTGAGGCTGCACCTTCACCAGTGACCTCTTCTGGCCCCTCAGGTGCAAAGTCTCAGATTCTCTCCATGACCCCTTCAATGCTGTGGTCTTTACTGCAACTGAGGCTGCACTTTCACCAGTGGCCTTTCCTGACCTCTCAGAGTGCCAAGCCTCAGCTTCTCTCTGTGACCCCTTCACGCTTTCAACACCAGAACCATGCAGGAGACTTTTATACATTACCAGGTCCTGCTTCCTTCCACCTTAAGGTGGAGGATCAGACCCCCTCTGGACCATAGCTTCTGTTTGCTGACCCTGAGGAAATACTTCCCAGAAGATTATGCCACAGTGATGCTCGACTCTTGTTACAGGTACAACTGATTTTTCAGCCCCAGCTAACCAGCATCAATTGTCCCAGTTAAACAAAGGTTTCATTTCAGTGGTTCTGGTCTCCTCTTAATCACAGCTGATTCTTCAGCTGCACCTGACCAGAACCCACAGATTCTCAATTCAAAATATCACATAAACAGCCCTTATAGTCTCTGCTTCTCTTTGAAGCTTCACAAGCCAGGCCTCTATCATCCACAACTCTTTAAGCATAACTGTTCTAAGCTCCACAGCAAAAAACTCAATGGCTTTTCCAGCCCAAAGTTCTAAACGTTTCCACAGTCCTCCCCAAAATACCAAGGTCAGGTCTGTCACAGCAATACCCCCTGATCCTGATACCAATTTCTGTTCTTGTTTGTATCTCCATTGTGGTAACAAAATACTCTGACCAATACCAACTTGGGGAGAAAGAAGTTTGTTTGGCTTACATCTGTGTCAGTTTATCAGGGAGTCCAAGGTAGGAACTCAGGGCAGGAACCTGGAGTTGAAGCACACACCATGGAGGAACATCACTTAGTGGCTTGCTCCCCTGAGCAGTATGCAACCTGCTTTCTTACAATACAGGACCACCTGCCCAGGGGTGACCCCACCCACAGTGAGCTGGGTTCTCCCTCCCACATCACTCAACAATCAAGAAGATGCCCCACAAACATGGCCACAGGCCAAGCCAATGGAGGCAATTTCCCAACTGAGGCTCCCTCAACCTGAGTGTGTCAAGTTGATAACTAAAGCTATCCAGCACACTTAGTATACAGTTTTGTGTGTGTGTGTGTGTGTGTGTGTGTGTGTGTGTGTGTAATTTGTATATACCCGGAACAAAAGTTTTATGAAATAATACTGGGGAGGCAGAGGCAGGTGGATCTCTATGAGATCATGGCCAGCCTGGTCTACATAGTGAGTGCCAGGACAACTGGAGCTACCTTGAAACCCTGTTTCACAAATACCAAAAAAAAAAAAAAAAAAAAAAGACTGCAGTAGTCTGGAGAGATGGCTCAGTGGTATGGAGCACTGCCTGCCCTTTGAGAGGACCCAGGTTTGGTTCCCAGCTGACAACTATCTGTAACTCACTCCAGTTCCAGGGGATCTCATACCCTCTTCTGACCTCCACAGGCGTTGCATGATGTGGCTGTATTTGCATACATGAAGGCAATACACTCATACACATAAAAAAATAATAAAATATTTTTTAAATAGTTATTAGACCTGACTTCATAACATTGTGAAACCTACTGGTCTAGATTTTTGATCTGAACATTTTGGATTGCCACTAGCAAGATAATGTTTGTGTGAAAGTTTATGGAAATAGAAAACATTAAATGACTGGGACTTAAGCTTTTTTAGGTGGATTTTCTATGTATTCTCTACTAGTTCTATAGACCTCAAGAATGTGTTAACCATACATATATTTTTAACCATATATAATTGTTGTAGGACAGAAAATGAGATAGAAGTGTATATTATAAAGTTACTGGTATAGTTAAAAGAATTAGCAAAGAAGTTTTATTAGGAAATTTATGAACTTTTTTTTTTTTTTTTTTTTTTTTTTTTTTTTTTTTTAAAAAAAAAAAAAAAAAAAAGAGGACGATAAATCTTTCACTGTGATATATCAAAATAACTCACAGAGATCCACCTGCCTCTGCCTCCTGAGTGCTGGGATTAAAGGCGTGCGCCACCACACCTAGCTAGGAAATTTATGAGCATTTTAAGAAATAAGAAGAATGGTTTTTGTTTTATTAGTCTGTTTATTTATTGTTGCTGTTTTTTCCTTTCAAGATACTCTTGCTATATAGTTTAGGCTGCCCAGAACTCAAGATCCTCTTGCTTCAGCCTCCCAGGTGCTTGGAGTATAGATATATGCCACCATGCCTGACAAGGAGTAGGAAGGACTGTACAATGAATCCTTGTTACCTAAATTCATATACAGTGATTATCCACATTATATCAATTCCAAGAAGAAAACGTGAATATGGTTTTTCAAGATACGGTTTCCCTGCAGCCCCAGCTGATTTGGAACTCACTGTGTAGACCAGGGTAGCCTGGATCTCACAGAGATCTGCTTGCCTCTGTCTCCTGAGTGCTAGGATTAAAGGTATAAGCCACAATGCCTGGTGATAAAATAATTTTTAAGACACATGTAGTAATTCCCTCCTCACTTAATATAAGCAGATGATCTGTTTGCTTTTCAGAAGAGAGTTATTCCTTAGTGTTTGTTTCTTCAGTGCTCCTCCTGGGTGCTGAGATTGTAGGCATTTAACCCCTGCAAGTGGAATAAATCATTGTGTGATAGTGAGGAAGCAGGGATGCTGAGGAGTTTATGTGCCCCTTTAAGGGGATTTTCCTGATGATATCCTACAAGCCTAGACCCTGCCCATCTTACTTGAATGAAGCATTTCAGCAGCCTCTTTTCCAATCTTCCAGCCACTCTACCACCCTTCCTGCTGCCATTACACTGATCTGTAGTGGTGACTTCAGGAAGAGAATCACATTAATTTTATCCTCTGTTTAAAACTTTCCTGGTTCTTCCTTTGCTGCTCATATGATCAAATCATAAACCATTGATTTTCACTCATAATCTGGTTCCACCGCACTTTTCTAGCTTGCTCTTCTACTGTCTCTTCCTTAGTATATCAACATTATTAGAATATGACTATTACTTTAAAGTATTTTCTTTATTATTTTTATTTTATGTGAATGAGTGTATTGCCTGCATGTATGTGAATGCACTTGTGTCATGCAATGCCACAGAGGTCAGAAGAGGGCTTCAGATTCCCCTGGAACTGGAGTTAAGGATGGTTCATAGCTGCCATGTGGGTGCTGGGAATCGAACCTGGGTCCTCTGCAACAGCAGTCAGTGCTCTTAACCACTGAGCCATCTCTCCAGCCCCAAAATTTGTTTTTTAATATTTATGTGTATTAGTGTTGGCCTGCATGTATGTAAGTACACTTGTGCATGCAGTGCCCACAGAGGCCAAAAGAGGGCATCAAATCCCCTGGAACTTGGAATTCAAGACCGTTGTTAGTGGCCATGTGGATCCTGGGAACTAAACCCAGGTCCTCTATAAGAGCAGCCAGTGCTAGTGACCACTGAGCCAACCCCTTTACTTATTTTAAAGAGAACTTAAGTTTGTAGTTTTTCCTTAGGAAAAAATATACTTTGGTAAAGTAATATAGAGTATTTATCTTCAGTAATCCTATTTTAAAGGTAAGTCTACTTTCAATGTACTTTTTTTCTGTAGAACACTATGATTTTATTTCATGAGTGGGAATAGATTTGTGCTGAAGACCTTACAGTAGCCTTGATTAATTGTTGATGTGTTTCAGCTCATGGAGTGCTGTGTAAATGCCCTTGTGACTTCATTTAAAGAGACTATCTTAGCGGAATGCCAAGGCATGATCAAGAGGAATGAGACTGAAAGTAGGTAAAATATAACAAAGATCTTACACTTATTTAAGAGTATTCTAAGCAAATCTCTAATTACTAGGAGGTCATTCTTTTACAGGTAGGTGTACTTGTTAGCGTAAAATATATATGTTAGCGTAAAATATATATGTTAGCGTAACTATATACACACACACATATATATGTATATATATATATATAAAATATTTAGCACAGAAGCATTTAAGGGTTTATTTTTTTTATTTACTTATTTTTTTTGTGCATGCATGTATTGCCTACATGTAGGTAAGTGCACCCATGTCGTGCAATGCCCATGGAGGACAGAAGAGGCTGTCGGATCCCCTGGAACTGGAGTTACAGACAGTTGTTAGCTGCCATATGGGTTCTGGGATTCGAACCCGGGTCTTCTGCAAGAACAACCAGTGTTCTTAACTGCTGAGCCATCTCTCCAGCCCCGGGTTTATAAATTTATATTATTTTCAGTACTTATTTGAGAATTCTTTTGTCCTTGAAAGTTGAACTCTGCAATTCAATGCCAATTTAAGTAACTCAGATGGAAGTAGAGAACTGACTCCTCACATTCTGCCCTGACATTCACATGTGCAGGGAATGCATTTGCGTGCACACACAATAAACAAATGTTCAAACAATTTGACAGCATTTTCTGACCTCCATGGGCATTGCATGACACAAGTGCACTTACCTACATGCAGGCAATACACGCATACACATAAAATAATAAGTAATTTTTTCTAAAAAAACATGTTAGCTGGGCGTGGTGGTGCACACCTTTAATCCCAGAACTTGGGAGGCAGAGGCAGGCAGATCTCTGAGTTCGAGGCCAGCCTGGTCTACATAGTGAGTTCCAGGACAGCTGGGGCTACAGGGAGACCCTGCCTCAAAAAGACCAAATAAAAAAAGCTTGTTAATAATATTTATACTTTTCCCAAAAACATAAGTGGTTTCTTAATGAAGTTGTGTTTGAGGAGGTAGCAAGTATATAATTAGCAAGAAAAATTACCACTACCCAGAGGGAAGCACTTAACTTTTGATGTAGTCCCAGATTTTACTATGTCTCACTACAATCTCCAGTTGAATTTAAAGTTCACATTTCAGCTCACTGAAGTTCCTAACTTTTGACTGAGAGGGGGTTTCTTAAAGCTGAGGCAGTACTTGAATTTGCTGTGTTGCTCAGGATGGCCCCTGAACTCCTAACACTCTTGGATCCACCCAAGTTAATAAGCTGTTTAGGAGTAATTTGCAGTAAAAAGAAGTTTCCTTATTGTCAAAAGTGCAATCTTTGGATTTTATATGTCCAACTAAGTAGAGTTGTAAATGATCCATGCTGAACTCCTGCAAAAGAATTCGGTTAGTGATCCATGCTGTGAAGTAGGGTTTTCTGAATGTCACATGGTATAACGTGAAAAAATGCTCTGTGAATTTTCTGAATAAAGTTTCATATTAACTCTTAATTTTTGTATGATCATCATCCTGTTTTTAACCCTTTAATAATAATATTGCAACTACTTTATGAAACGTAGTAGTGTTTGTTATGTAACCTGTCAGGGAAAACATTGAGAAAAAAGACATATGTTCTTGCTTTCTACTCTGTAAACTGGCTTGGCACCTGCTAGTAGCCTGGCTTGGCCTTGAATTCTCAGCCATCCTGCCCCTGCTTCCAGTTTGCTAGGATTACAGGTGTGTCACCATACCAGCAACTTTTCTGTTTGTTTGTTTGTCTTTTTTGAGACAGGGTCTCCCTATAGCCCCAGCTGTCCTGGAACTCACTGTGTAGACCAGGCTGGCCTTGAACTCCCAGAAATCCACCTGCCTCTTCCTCCCATGTGCTAGGACTAAAGGCATGCACCACCACGTCCAGCCCCCAGCAACTTTTGTTCTTTTTGAATTAAAAAAAAAAAAATCTCATTGGAGATTAGATGGAGCTGGGTTTTGCAAACAATGATCACTTTTAATTAGATTATTAAAAGAAACTAGTTTTTGTAATCTGGGAAGATAGTTCAACTCCTAAATTAATTGTACCCACAGGAGACTATTGATACTTCAGACTCCTACATAATAACTCCCCTGACTTTTTCTTTTCTTCCAGACTCATTTTTACAGATGTAGCCCAATGTGAGTTTGAAGACAGCCTGGTACATCGTGAGTTCTAGGCCAACCAGGGCTGCATATAAGGCCTGGTCTCAAAAAGAAAACAAAACAAAACAAAAAACAACAAAAGAAAGAAAGAAAATTTTAAAATTATAAAAATCTACCATACATGTAAATCAGAGTGAACATTTACTCTTTGGATGAAATAATTACATGGTGTATTCTGTCCTTTCAGAGTTACATTTAATGTTTTCATTGATGGACAAAGTTCCTAATGGAATAGAGCCAATGTTGAAAGACTTGGAGGAGCACATCATTAGTGCTGGCCTGGCAGATATGGTAGCAGCTGCTGAAACGATTACTACTGTAAGTGCTCTTTAGTGGCAGTGGTTCATACACATCAAAGGTATTTCTTAAGTATAAGATCATATTTAAAGTAGTTATTGAGGGGGTGGAGAGATGGCTTATCAGTTAAGAAGCATTTGCTGCTCTAAAAGCAGACCTGGATTCAGTTACCACCCATGATGTATCAGTTCACAACCGTCTGTAACTCCAGTTCTAGCAGATACAGTGCCCTCTTCTGGCCTCCAAAGGCTCCAGGCATGCACATGGCACACATGCACACATGCAGGCAAACACTGTTACATATAAAACAAAAATAAATAAATCTTTAAAATAGTTGTTGAAACAGCAAAACTGTAATATTGCAATTCCATTTAATTTTAATTAATTTTTTTTTAATTGTGTGTGAGTGTTTTTCCTGTAAGTGCAGCAGGTGCATGCAGTGCTCACCAAGGCCAGAAGAGGGCATTGAATCCACTGGAACTGGAGTTATGGATGATTGTTATCTGCCATGTGGGTGCTGGGAACCAAATTGGGGTCTGCTGGAAGAACAGCCAATGCTCTTAACTGATGAGCCATCTCTCTAGCCCCCAATTTTACTTCTAAGAAAAAAATTTCCCCAACTTTATACCTTTAGTCTTTTATTAAAGAAATATTTGTGTTCTTAATTTTTATATTATTATTTTGCTTTTCAAACTGAAATGCAAAACATTTTATTTCCAGGACTCTGAGAAATATGTTGAGCAATTACTTACACTGTTTAATAGATTTAGTAAACTCGTCAAAGAAGCTTTTCAAGATGATCCACGATTTCTTACTGCAAGAGATAAGGTATATATTTCTGTATGTTAACATTTTGTATAAAATGTACTACTATTATAATTTACTTTTAGCAAGCATTTCTATCATACTATTAAATTGCAAATTGAAAGCTTAGGAAGTCTTAATTTTCTGCAGTAGAGCAATTACATTTGTTACATTCATTTATTCTCAAAGTTTTATTTATGTGTATGCCACCTGTGTGGGTGCATCAGGAAACCAGAAGGCATTGGATTCCCCTGGAGCTTTACAGGCAGTTGTGAACCACCTAATGTAGAGGCTGGAGTCTGAACTCAGGACCTCTGGAAGAGCTGAGCCATCTGTCCACCCCAATATTTGTTTTAGTAAGCATTGGAAAGCAGTGTGAAGTAAAATTAACCTAGAAAACAGCTTCCCTTTTAATTTTTGAGGAGTGTTGTTCTGTGTTTTGAATATTACTGATTATTAATTTCTTACTCGCCCTTAAACACATAGCACTAAGTACACTTCTTTGGAGATTTTCTAGTTTCATCACTGCCCTCCGTAGCTCATTCCAAGCACAGTTGATTATTTTCTTTTACATTTTCTCTTTTTTTTGGTATTTTTGAGACAGGGTCTCCCTGTAGCCCCAGCTGTCCTGGAACTCACTATGTAGACCAGGCTGGCCTTGAACTCACAGAGATCCGCCTGCCTCTGCCTCCCAAGTGCTGGGATTAAAGGCATGTGCCACCATGCCCGGCTACATTTTCTTTATTTAGCATGTTTATGTGCATGCTATCCCATACATGTGTGTGTCCGTGTCCGTGTGTGTGTGTGTGTGTTATAGTCAGAGGACAATTTGTAGGAGGAGTCAGTTCTCTCCTTCCACCATGTGGGTTCCAGGATTGAACTTGAAGTCATCAGGCTTTGTGACAAGTGCCCAAAGTTGATTTCTTATCCTCTGTCCTTTGGAGCGACAGTGAGAGTTAGGATCACGTTTATTTTTGTTTCCATGGAAGCATCTACACAGCATCTTTTCCCATCCTCAGTAGCATAGGGTAAATGTAATGAAATCTGTTATCCTTAGAGTTCTGTCTTTTAAATGCCATAAACCACTCACAAGAAATTGTCATTAGTTTTTCCTCTCTTCAGCTACCCTTTATTACTTCCCACATTTTTTCACATAGCTAAAAAAGGAATTGATTTTCTCCAATAGATGTTTTTCCCTCAAAAAAATTTGTGTGTATTTTCACACACATACACCACAATGCAATATATCCTACATTCTATTCACATACATTCTTCACACAAACTACATACATATCATATCATACATCATGCACCAACACCACACAGAGGCACACTATCACACACTACGCATACTTGTCACATATACTGTTCTGCCTCCCACAACACACCCCCACACCTTAAAACACATATAACATATTCACTTGCCATATCACACATGCCACACAATCACACACATCATGTACTCCATATACCCACATATGCAGAAGCCCCATATGAGCCATAATACATGTCACATGTAGCATATATCACCCACACTACTACTATTATTACTATTAACACACACACATATACACACACACATACACCTCTGTATTTTGTGTGTAGAAGGTACAATGGGAAAATCAGAGCATCTACAAGGGTGTAGGGGAGGGTGATGAGGATTATGAGAGGGTACTGTTTCCTTTCCCAGCCAAGGCATTTTGTTGTATACACTTAAAAGTACATTTATAGTAAGTGTTCTGTGCTGGCTTCAGAGCACGCCATGACAAATATCCCAGTAAGAGAAGCACATTATCTCCCAGTCCTGGAGGCTAGGATTATAAGATCAACGGGTTTGGAGGCTGGCTCCACAGGTAGGCACTGAGGAGCATCTGCTCTGGCATCTTTGGCTTCTGCTGGCCTTCCCTGGCTGGTAGACAACATCCCTCCATCTTCACATGGCATTCCCCGTTTCTTAAAGGTCTCTCTCCTTACCCTCCTAACAGCCCAGGTAAACCCAGAGTTACCTTATCTTTGGCGATTAATTAAATCAGCAAAGATTATTTCCAAATAACAGCTCTGGGGGTGGGAAGGGGGGCAAGGGGAATCCATTCAACCCATATCAGAGTCTGAGGGCCTCATTCAACTCCCAGAAAGTGTCTTTGAAGAAGAGTCCTGTGACTGGCTCAGCTGACTAACCTTGTCTACTGTGTCCCACCCCACTCATCAGAGCAGGTTTGCTAATTGGTCTAAAATACTAGAGCCCAGATCGTAATATGTCTGGGTCTCTGGGCCAAGAACACTGGCTTGGAGTATCATCGCCTGCAACCCAAAAAGCTGCAGCTTTACACAAGGGACAGGCAGAAATGGCCCCGCTAGGACCTAATGCCCACTCTCTCTACACTGAGGCTCTAAATATGATTTTTCTCCAGCCTTCCAACAGCAGGGTGTGGTGGCACATGACTTTAATCCCACTTGGGAGGCAGAGGCAGGTGGATCTTTGTGAGTTTGAGGCCAGCCTGGTCTACATAGTGAGTTCCAGGCCAGCTGGGGCTACAGGGAGACCCGGTCTAAAAAAAAAAAAACAAAAAAAAGACCCCCCCCATGCTATTGTTCTTTGTGTTTCTTAGTCTCTAGATAATAAACATTTAAATCTAAATTTTAAAAAAAAATTGTGTATTTTAAGATGATGAAGTGCCTAAGCAACAAGTTACCAGAATGTAGAGATGATGAGGAGTTTTGAAGTCTTACATTGAATCACCTGCAGAAGTGACGTTTGAGTCAGGACTGAAAACAAAGGAGTAAGTCACATGGCTGTCTGAGGAGAGAGAGTTTTAGCCAGAGGAAGCAGCAGATTGCAGAGATTCACAGGCAGGAAATCATCTGGCGTATTCCAGGAACCACAGACCGGGCCCTTTGGCTGGAGTAGATGGAGTAAAAGAGAAAGAGCAGGAAATAGTGTCCTGTAGATCACCAGAGGCCAGAGCCTGAAAGACAGCCACGGTGGAGCTGGGGAGGTGGCTCATTCAGTAAAATTTGCTTGAACACTTGAGTTTGGATCCTCAGCATCCATGTAAAAGAACAGGGTGTGACTTCATGCATTTGCAATTCCAGTGTTAGGACTTGCTGGCCAACCAGCGTAGCCATTCAGTGCGCGCCTTGGTTGAGCAAGAGATCTTGTCTCCAAAAATAAGGTAGAAAGTGATAGAGGAAGATACCCAAAGTTGACCTCTGGCTTCCACACATGTACATAGACAAATACATACACGAACACATAAAAAGTGAGCCACAGAAAAGACTGTGTTTTATTGTGAGTGAGGTAGAAAGTCATTGGAAGGTTTTAAAGTAGGACTTAAACATTAGCAGTACTATTTCGGAAACAAGGACTGAAGGGAGGGAGAGAAGCGAGAATACTAGTTAGGACTGTATATAGGGCCGAAGAGATGACTCCATCGGTAAAGTCCCTGCCATGTAAATAAGAGGACCTGAACCCATTAAAAGCTAGGCATGGTGATTGCGTGCCTGTAATACCAGCATGGTGGAGCCAAAGACAAATGGATCCCTAAAACTCATTGGCCAACCAGCCTAGCTGTATCAGTGAGCTTTGGACTCAATGAGAACCGGACTCAAAAAGAAAAGGCGGAGAGTGATGGAGGCAACACACCCACTATTGACATGTGCCCCTCCCACGTATACATTTTGCACACCTGCACATATACTACACACACAACCCAAAAAAGTATTTAAGTTAAATAAATAATGATAGTGGATGGAGGTAGTCAAAGAGTGGTTAGAATCATTTCAAAAATGTATTAGTGTATGTTGGGGGGATGGTTCTATAGATCAAGAGTAGGTCATAAGGCTTGGAAGACAGTAGCTTTAAGCTAGGCATGATTGCTCGCGCCTTTAATCCCATCACTTGAGAGGCAGGAGGATCTCTGTTAGTTCAAGGCCAGCCTGGTCTCCATAGTGAATCCAGGCCAGCTACAGGGAGACCCTGAAGATAGTAGCTTTATTCACTGAGTCATCTCGCCAGCTCTGAGTTTTGTTTTTAATACAGTTGATTTATTTGGGAAACATGGAATGCAGGTAAAAGGAATAGAAGATAAGAAAAAGATGGTAGCTGACACAGTGTACACTTTAAATTAAGTCATCTCTATAATAAGCATAATCCTGCAAGAAAACTTTGTCAAAGTATTAAACTGCTCAGAATTACCCCACCCATGAAGTCTGAGTCACCTTGTCATCTCTAGCTTTCTGTGTGCATGGACAGCATGTTTCTATAATTGTAGGAAATGGAATAGTTACCAGCTATGACAAAGTTGAAGTATGTGTTAAGGGTTTGAAAGCACAACTAGTTATGTGGCTTGAGCCTGAAAGATAAAAATGATACTGCTCTGTAGAAGTGACTTCTCTTTTTTTTTAATTTTTTAATTTTTATTTTATTTTTATTTTATGTGTATGTGTGTATTGCTTGCATGTATGTAAGTGTATGTGAGTATGTATGCAGTGTATGTGAGTGCACCCGTGTTGTGCAACGCCACAGAGATCAGAAGAGGGCTTCGGATTCCCCTGGAACTGGCGTTAAGGATGGTTCATAGCCACCATGTGGGTACTGGGAATTGAACCCAGGTCCTCTGCAAGACTGTTCAGAAGACCTGGTCACTGAGCCATCTCTCCAGCCCTAGAAGTGACTTCTTGTTGGAGGCTTTTGACTGATTCCCAGGGCCTAGTTCATGACCCCAAATCCTTTCAAGTCCTTTCCTTTTTCTCCCCTCCCTCCAGTTTATTTAATTTTTTCGATATGTTATGGGACACATTTAGACAGTATAAAACTTACTGTCGTAAAGCAAATCATCTCCATCATTTTACATGGTTACCCATTTTTATTGTTGTTTGTGGTAAGACAGTGGAAATCAACCCACTAACATGAATCCCACATGCAGTATGATTTTATTGTCCAGAATGGTCATAGTTAGGTCTCTAGACTTGTTCATCTTACATATGTTACTTTGTATCGTCAGACCTACATCTCCCCTGTTCTTCCCAAACTTCCTGTTTCATTCTGTATATCTGTAGACGTGAGTTCGTGTAATAATTTTGGCTTATTTTGATTAGCAATTCCAGGTTCATCCATGTTGTGGAAAATGCAAGCCGTCTCTTTTTATCAAGGCCAAATAATACGCCATTGTATTCCTGTGCCACAGTTCCCTTTCCATTCATCCAACAGTGGACATTTTGGGTGTTTTCATCCCCTGGCTTTTGTGAATAATGCTGGCAAGGACATGGGAATGCAGATATCTTTATGAGATAATAGTTTTATTTCCTTTGAGTTTATGCCTAGAAGGGGATTATTGGGATTTTGAGTATGACAGTGTAATGGAAAGAAACCATTCAAAGATGGTTATTCAGATTTGTGTTCAGACCAGTTATGTGTATTGTGATATTGAGAGTGTGGGAGAAATTTGGGAAGATGAGAGCAAACAAGTCTAAAACTTAGTTTTGAACATCTTCACTGGAAGCTCCACTAAAGGAGAGAACAAAGCTGGAAACTATGTTTCGGTGCTTTAACGTTTACATATTTGTTTGTTTGTTTTTAACTATTTTATTATTTTAATTTAAATTTTATTATTATTCCAAAGAGAGGCAATTTTAAGCACATTTTTCCAAATAAGAAATCAAAGACCAAAGGATTTGCCAACATGGGGTCACCTTTGGTGGCATAATGAAGGTTTCCATTACCTCTGTTCTTTTGTTGTTGTTGTTGTTTTTAATCCTAACGAGTTTGTTGGGGTTTACATGTTTTTAAAGCCCTGACAACTGCCTGTGGTCACCATTGGTGGTCGTTAAGACAGGATTGAAAACCTGAGGCATGGCCTAAGCGTTCTGCTATTTAGTGACTAGACAAACAGACCTGTCCTGAGGCCCTGGAGAGTGTGGTTAGAAAACAAGTAGAAAAAAGACGTATAACCTGCTGTTTTAAAATGTCACCGATAGGTTGAAGTAAGATGGAAGCCTACTGTTGTCCCCGGCAACATGGAGGCTACAACTTTTGTAACAGTTGGGTGGACTTATCTTGAAAGCTTGGTTTTGGTGGTTTTCAATAAAAGTGTAGGAAAGACAGAGTGTGCGTCCTTCAATAGGCCTCCTATTTTAAACTTCAGCCACCCAGGGCTCAGTGACCACTGTGGAAGAAGGGGCTGAAAGACTGACTGTAAGAGCCAGGAGTGGTGGATGACCACAAGTAAAGTTTTACAGGCAGCTGGGAACTTGCTCATATGAACTTACAGTAATAACAACAGCATGCACAAGACCCGTTAGACAAAAACGCAGCATAGAACTGTGGAAAGGGTCAAGAAGCCCCAACCGTAGCAGAGGAACTATTGGCAGCTGATTACTGCTAGGTGAGGGAAAGTTGATGTCCTTTAAGGGAGTGATGCTAGATAGGCTTACCTGGCTCTAGCAGATGAACTCACACCAGGGGACATCTGGAGACATAAACTTGACTCATAGACCTTAACATATGACAGAATGCATGAAATCTGGTGAGGGTGCTATCAGGGATGCAGATACGGGAAAGGGTCTAAAATGGTTAAGAGGCACAAAATACATAAAAATTCAATACAAATATATATTGTATTAAAAAAGAAAGACACGGAACCATTTAATTCTTTTGCCTATGCATTTCAAATTTCCTCATGAGCATTATTGAAGAGACATATTACTGGCACCATTGTCAAGTAACTGAATATGAACATTTGAAAAAAAATATTGACAGCATATCCATTTGGTTAGGATCAACATATGGGAAGGAAGAACAAATACATATACTGATCAAGTCTGAGAAATGGATGGCTGTTACAGAGATGTAGAAAAGAACCAAGAGATAGTGAGTTAGACAATTTTCTAGAGTCTAGCATGAAGGAATGGGGAGGCATGAGATGTTTAGCAGCTGAAAGTAGACAGTCAAAAAATTTTAGTACGTGAAAAATAGCATTATGCCTTTCATGTTGAAGCTAAAGCAGTAGTAGAGAAGGAAGGCAGTTGATGGAGGACCTGAAGGAATTGTGACTACTACAGCTTTTTCAGTGAGACAGCAGGATGCACCATTTATCCAGAGTTCACCGGGAAGGAAATGTTAAGGTTTAAGGAAAAGGAGATGGTATGGTAATTTCATTTAAGAAAATAGGAAACTCAAGAAGGGAAAATGGGTGTGGTTGTCAGGCAGCATTAAGACCTCACTTGAGAACAATGATAGTTATTATTCTAAGGCCTTAGACAAAGTAGGCTATAAGGGGCTGGCAAGATGGTTCAGAGGTAAATCGCTTGCCATACAGGCCTGGTATGTGAGTTCCATCCCCAGAACCCACATAAAGATAGAAAGAGGGAACCTGACTCCCTAACACAACATGCCCACCCCCCACAATAATAATAATAAACTAAATTTTTTCTTTTTTTTTTTTGTCTTTTTGAGACATGGTCTCCCTGCAACCCAGGTGGCCTGGAACTTACTGTGTAGAACAGGCTGGCCTCTATCCGAGAGAGATCCACTTGCCTCTGCCTCCTTGGTTACTGGGATGAAAGGCATGTGCCACCATGCCCAGCTAATAAAATAAAATTTTAAAAAGTGTACTGTTAGGCTAGATACACCATTAAAAATGAAAGTTGGGGGACTGGAGAGGTGGCTCAGAGATTAAGAGCATGGCTGCTCTTGCACAGGACCCAGGTTCAAATCCCAGTACCCACATGGAGGCTAACAGCCCTCCTTAACTCCAGTTCCAGGGGATCATAATAGAGAGTGTGTATGTAGCACATTGCAGGGTCTTCATTTCAGTTCCAGCACCACAAAAAAGTGACAGCCCATGACACCTCACGTATATTTCTATGTGCTTTTACACATGTAATAATGTATATGTATATTTTAAATACTCAGTAATTCTCATATCCTATTTCAAATTTTTTTTTGCAGGCATATAAAGCAGTTGTTAATGATGCTACCATATTTAAACTTGAATTACCTTTGAAGCAAAAAGGGTAAGCTTTTTAAAACTGTATTTTAACAATAATTCAATATTCTGGACTATATTACATGTTACTGAATATGGGAGATACCCTATTTCCCTCTTGAGTTTGGATTTCTTGTTTTTTTTGTTTTTTTTGTGGTGGTGATAGTGGTTTGGTTTTTTCTGTTTTGTTTTTGAGACCAGTCTCTAGCTCAGGCTGATTTCAAGCTCCCCTGTATAGCCAAGGATGACCATGATCTGCTAATCTTCTGCTTCCATTCTTGAATGCTAGGATTACAAGTGTAGTACACCCAGCCAGATTTATGCAATGCTAGGGAATGAACTCAGACTTTGTTCTTAGGCCAGCCCTCTACCAGCTATGCTGCATCCCCCAGGCCTTGTTTTGTTTTTTGTCTTTGAGACAACATTTGGCTGCATAACCCAGGCTAAGTTTAAACTGCTAATCTTCCTGCCTCCTGCTCTCAATGGCTGTGTTTACATACCTTGCTTGTTTTTTGTTTTTTTTGTTTTTTGTTTTTTTTTTTTTGTCTTTTTGAGACAGGGTCTCCCTGTAGCCTCAGCTGACCTGGATCTTACTATGTAGACCAGGCTGGCCTTGAGCTCACAGAGATACAGAGATTAGCCTGCTTTTGCCTCTGGAGTGCCGGGATTAAAGGGGTGCACCACTATGCCCAGATACCTTGCTCAGTTTGGTTTTGTTGCTAATCTTGGGATTTTTGCTATCCTTGGCTATTAAGACTCTTCAACTTATAATTTTTTATCTCCTTTTCCCAAAAGTACTGACTTTTCAAGTAGAAAAGTATGATTTGTTTCTTGTCTTTTAGGATCTTTACTTGGTTTTCCTTTATTAGCCCCTAAAGATTTTTTTTTTATAATGAAAGCAAAAAATGACTCATTTTACCATAACGACATAAAGGGAAATGAATTTTAGTGTAAGTTTTATATTGTCATTTTTAACAATTGATCTCTTTGGCAGACACTTGTCTATCAAGTACAAGGCCCTGGGTTTGACCCCCAGCTCCAGAGTGAATAAACAGATAAATTATAATACATGTAACATGAAAGCATAGAGGGGGACAAGTTGAAATTAAGAAGGAAAGGAATCAACAGAGCAAGAGGGGATGCATGGGAACAAAGTATGATACGTGTGCATGGAAATGTCACGATGAAATCTGTGAGCTGGTCAGATGGCTTTGCCAGTCTTGAAGGTGCTTCACCAGGCCTGATGGTCTTGAGTTGGGTCCCTAGGACCCCACATGTTGGAAGAAGAAAGCTGACTCCTGCAGGTTGTCTTCTGGCTTCCTCAGGCATGCTGTGGTTCAGCACCCCTACAAGCCTTTAATGCTTGTGTATGTTGTGAGCTTGGGATTGAAATTTTTTTCCCATCAAAAACTCATGACTTGAATGTGTTAGTCTGTGTTCTGGGAGCTCTATGTCCATGACTTGAATGTCCTCTGGTGCTCACATAACCCTACTACAGTTCTGGTGGATGTCTTAAAATCAGCATCACTTTGTTATTTTTTTCAGCTATATTTGTGACAGGTGTTACTTCTAGTTTTTGTATCTTTTTTCCTGTTTTTTGTGGTGTTTTGTTATTTTTCTTGGTGTTGGTAGAAAGCTGGTCTCATAAACAGCTAATCGAATTGGTACTGCTTCTGCTTTAACTGCAAAACTGTTTAGATGTGGAGTTTTCTATGTGGGGAGGTTTTTAAAATTATATACCAGGGCCTGGAGAGATGGCTCAGCAGTTAAGAACACTGGTTGTTCTTTCAGAAGACCTGGGTTCAAATCCTAGCACCCACATGGCAGCTAACAACTGTCCATAATTCCAGTCCCAGGGGATCCGATGGCCTCTTCTCTCCTCTGCAGGCATTGCATGACACAGGTGCACTTAACCTACATACAGGCAATACACGCATACACATAAAAAATAAAAATAAAATATTTTTAAATTATATATTAAATCTATTTAATAGATATAAAGATTTTCAAATTTCCATTTAATCTATTTGTTAGGTAAATTGTTGTTTTCAAGTAATTTCATAATTTCTTCTAAGTTGTTATTTATATACCTGCAAGTCATGACTGCTATATCCTGTTACTCATTTTTCTTGGCAAAAACAGGAAAACTTTTTTTCTAGAGTCATTTCAGATGAGTTGTTCTTCCAAATACATTAGTGCGTATTTTCCACACTACAATCAATGCAACTTCCAAATCAAGAAATTAACTGTTGAAGTAACTGCAATACAAGTTAACCATTTTAAATTTGAAAGGGAACAATACATTAATAATACTGTACAACCTCAAATTCTGTGTATTTCCAAAATATTTTTAACAATCATAAGTAAAATGCTTTCCCTTTAAGCTGTTTCTTTCTCTCCTCCTAGCCCCTGGCAGCCACTGATCTCCATTAGTATCTGTGCACATTCTAGACATTGCATGTAAATTGATTCATATGTGAATTGTATCTGTCTTGTTTCGTCTACTGTTATATTTTCAAGGGTTATCATGTTGTAGCAAGTATCAGTATTTCGGCCTTTAATCCCAGGCTCAGTAAGACAAATACTGTTCTTTCTCATGTGGATCCTAGTTGCTGATTGTTGAATATGTGTATCCAGGTGGATGTATGTGGGTGAAGACCAGGAAAGAGGCCATGAGATGGGGAGGCGGGGAGACTTTACACCAGATGTGGTGGCTCATACCTTTAATCCTAGCTTTTGGGAGGCAGAGAGAGGTGAATCTCTGTGAATTCAGGGCCAGCCTGCTCCAAGTAGTGAGTTCCAAGTCAGCTGGGGCTATAGGGAGACCCTGTCTCAAAAAGACCAAAAAAAAAAAAAAAAAAAGTATCAATATTTCATTTCCTGTATGACTGAATAACGGGGTGCTGTGTATATAGTGTGGTATGTTTGTACCAGTTTATCAACCTATCCCTTAGACATTTGGGGCGTATCTATATGTTATGAACTTTGAATATGTTTTAAATAAAAAAGATTCCAGATTCAATGGACTTCAGGTGATTGATGGCCCTTTAATAATGTGGGCCAGTCACCGTAGGGCAGGAGGTTGGGAGGGGAGCAGGAATATGGTGGATATCCAGCACAGTAACCAGAAGAATGAAGGACAGTCCTTTCATTTTTATAGACTAGAGAAGAAGGGTCTGTGAGCCCAGAGGGCAGGGGTATCTGAGTTTAGTAGATTAGTGAGCCTGCTATTTAGTAGGCCATAATTTAGGAAGCAAATCCTATTGTTCCACCGTACCTTGGGGCTTGTATGTGCTAGGAGTTTAGCAGTTTAGGGAGGTACTAGATAGGATAGAAGCATTGACTCATTTCCTCTATAAGGGCAGCCTCTTTGATCTAACAGAATAGTGTTGCCTATAGACAAGAATGTGCATGCTTTTTTCTTGTGGTCCTTTTTGAGACAGGGTCTCCCTGTAGCCCTGGCTGTCCTGGATTTGCTATAGGGAGCAGGTTGGACTCGAACTCACAGAGATCTGCCTGCCTCTGCCTCCTGAGTGCTGGGATTAAAGGCATGCATCACCACGCCCGGCATGCATACATTTTTTAAATACTTGCTTTTACTTCTATTATTTTTTTCATTGCTGTGACCAGATTCCTGACAAGCAGCAGCTTAGAGGAAATCATCTTTAAACCTCGTTCAGCATGTGGCTATTTTCAAATATTTTTATTATAGCCATGCTACAGGATAGTTTGATTTACATTTCTCTGATGTCTAATCATTTAAATTTTATTAACATTTATTTGTGTGTATGTATGTGTCTGTGTGTTGGTATACATGTGTCATTGGTGAGTTTGTGGAGGTCAGAAGACAACTTGCAGGAACTGGTTATCACCTTTGATCATGTGGGTCCTGGGGCTTGAACTCAGATCATCAGCCTTGGTGGCAGGTGCTTTAATCTCCTGAACCATCTCAATGGCCCAGCGTCTAATGATTTTGAGCATCTTTTCATGTGCTACTTGTAGTTACATATTGTTTTGCTTTTTTTTGGAGAAATAGCCTTAAATTCTTTGCCCGTGTTTTTTAATTGGGTTCATAGTCTTTTTGTTTTGACTTGAAAGATAATTGCTTATTCTTTACTCAGGTGTCTTGTTCTTTTTCCACTGTGGTGTATTTATTAGAATTTTATTATAACATCCCTATTAATGGTAGCGTGGCATTCTGACAGGTGTGCAATGGTTTATTTAACTGATCCTTTACTCAGGCACCACACAGTGTCTGGCATTTTGCTATTGTTTTTAATGCTACAGAGGAATCATATTGTATACTTGTCATATCATGTGTGTGAACCTCTGTGTAGAGGATAGATTCTCAGAAGTGAGAATTGCTGATTTTTTCCTTTTTTTCTTATTCTCAGGTTGCTGTGTCCTTTAGCTCCACATTAAATTAGAAAAATGTATGTGGAGCAAATTGAGTATTATTAGCTGACCCAAACAACAGAACAGGGTCTGGCTTTTGGAGGTGAGGGAGGTGATGTAGAAGAATATGTTAGTTACTTTCTTCTTGCTGTGAAAGAATGCCTGACATGGAACTGCAGAGATGGCTCAGCTGTGGTTAAAAGTATGGACTGCTTTTGCAGAGGACCCACTCCAGGCAGCTCACAACTGCTTGTAACTCCAGATCCAGGGGATCTGAAATCTCTAGTCTCCACATGCACCTACACAACACACACACATGAAAAATTCTTTCAAAAATGTGTGACATAAATAACTTTGACAGAGGAAAGATTTATTATATTTGTGGTTCAGAGGCTTCAGTCCATCATGATAGGGAGGGTGTGACAGTGGCTCATGTCATGGCAGACTGGAGACAGGTACTGTAATGGGAATGGGCAGAGCAAGATATAACTTTGAAGGACGTAGCCTCTAGTGACTACTTCCTTTAACCAGGCCCTTTATCCATGGTTCAGCCACCTCCCAGTAGTCTCCTTAGAGTTTGAGTCCATAACAAATTAGGCATTCTTCAGGATCTAATCCTCAGCAGCAACATCTTTACGCATTTCTCAGTGCATCGGGTTGGCAATCAAGATTAACTTTAGTAGCAGGCAGATTATTGGAAACACTCACTTCTGAGGAAGGATGAAGTAGTCCATGGTAGGCCAGTGCCTTGCTGAGAACAACTGGAGTAAATCAGGTAAATATAGAAAGTAGTTTGGGGGCAGGAGAGATGGTTTAGCAGTTAGTTGGAAGTACTTACTGCAGAGGACCTGGGTTTGGTTCCCAGCACCCACATGTCGGCTAATACTGGTCCTTAACTCCAGTTCCTGGAGCTCTGACATCCTCTTCTGACTTCGGTGGCCACAAGGCACTCACATGGTGCACTTACAGACATGCAGACAAAACACACATAAAATAAAAATGCATAAAATCTTTCTCAAAGAAAGAAAAATAGCCTGGCGTGGTTGTGGACGCCTTTAATCCCAGCACTTGTAGGCAGAGGCAGGCAGATCTCTGTGAGATTGAGGCCAGCCTGGTCTACATAGTGAGTTTCAGGCCAGCTGGGGCTGCAGGGAGACCCTGTCTCAAAAAGACCAAAATAAATAAAAGTAAATAAAATAAAATAAACAGTACTTTTAACACTAAAGAGCTACAGAAGCAATATTGAAATATTAAAAATATTCAGTATTGAAAATATTGAAACTTATAGACTAAGGGAAGTTCCAACGGTTAGCTGAGTTTCCTTAAATTTAGAGAACCACAGCTGGAAGTCTTAAGTTTGACCCAGGCTGAGCATGATTGCTAGAAGCAGTAGAGTTTTTGGTGACGACACTGGACTGGAGTGACAAAACCCTACTGTGCTCTCTATTGATTAACCAGAGGGAGACTGATTGATAGCAAAACTAAAACCCAAGTTGAACCAGCTCAGCTCATACTTTCATTAAAATGATCAGCTCCTTCCTGTGTAGAGAGCCAAGGGTAAACCCACTGTTAATATAACATCATGTCTCCATGGGTCTTTAATATAAAGTGCTCATTCAATTTTCCATCACCAGTGCTATGAAGGCAGACTAAGAGATAAATAGTTTTAGAAGCAGATTCTCAGGGGATCCTAATATTGCAGTAAGGGCAACTGGTACTGCTTTTGTTTTCTAGAGTGGGGTTGAAAACTCAACCTGAATCAAAATGTCCCGAGTTGCTTGCCAATTATTGTGACATGTTGCTAAGAAAAACACCATTAAGCAAAAAACTAACCTCTGAGGAGATTGAGGCAAAGCTTAAAGAAGTGGTAAGTTTTTTTATATTTCTTCTCTTTTTTCTTTTTCTTTTTGGTCTTTTCGAGACAGGGTCTCCCTTGTAGTCCCAGCTGGCCTGGAAGTCTCACTCTGTAAACCAGGCCTTGAACTCCCAGAGATCATATCTCTGCCTCCCAAGTCCTGGGATTAAAGGCATGTGCCACCACAGACAGCTAAGTGGTAAGTTTTTTGTATATTTCACACTTTGTCTTGTAAGTAAAGGTTGCCTACCTCTAATAGGTAAGGAGAAACAGCAGTGTTGTTCCCCAGCAAAGGTTATGTAGAGACTTCTGTGTTTTATGTTTATAAATAGCCTTACTTTTTAATATTTTGCTTATAAGTAATTCTGTGATATCAATAAAAATGTTTATCTTAGGCTTGGGAAGGTGGCTCCATGGGGTAAATTGCTTGCTATGCAAGCATCAGTACCTGAATTTGGATCCCCAGCTCTCAGATAAAAAAGCCAAAGGCTGGGTATGGTGTGGTAACTAGAATCCCATCACCAGGATGCATTCTGATCAGCAGATGTAGCTAAACTGGTGAACTATGGGTTCAGTGAGAAACCCTGTCTCAAAAAATTAGGTGGTGAGAAATAGAAGATGCCCAAAGTTGGCCTCTGGCCTCCAAATGACCACTCACATATCAACCACACAGAAACTTCTGTAAACAACATTGTTATAATGTTTTACAGTTGTAATACCTTTATAAGGCATTTAGTGCTATACCTAAAATTTTTTTATTCAGTAGCTGCCTAAAAGGAAAGTATTTCTTTATTTACTCTGTGCGTGTGTGTGTGTGTGTGTGTGTGTGTGTGTGTAGTTGGAGATCGAACTCAGGGCCTCTTCATATTAGGCAGGCGCTGTACCAAGTAGCTCCATCCTCAGCCTTGTGCTTTTGACAGTGAATCTCCCTACTGTAGCTCTGATTGTCCTTGAGTCAACCTGCTGCTGTCTCCTGAATGCTACTTTATAGGCATGCACCACCATACCCAGCCTCTTTCTTGGTTTCAGTGGATAATTAAATTCTAGTTCCTGTTGAAGAACAAAAATTTAGCGTAGACTGTATGATTGGAATGACAATTAAGAGACTGAGTTTTGTGCTCCTTGCCCAGGATAGATGGATAGTAGGCGCAGTTGAGAGTAGACATGTTAGTTGTTCCCTTTTCCCTGGTCACATACTTGTTTGTTTGCCTATTGTTAGCATGGTGATTTAAGCCTAGGAATCCCAGGGGAGGGATAAGAGATACAGTCAAAGTATAAACAGAAAGGCCCAGGGTGATGGTCTGTGTCAGAAAAAAGCAAGGTATGTTTCCTGTAAAGCATTATCACATTTATATAATTGAAAACTGGGATTAATAGAACTAATTCTCAAATTTGCTAACTTTTGAAGTAGTGCATCAGGATTGGTCTATAAATCTCTTGTGTATTAGTCACTTTGCTGCTGCTGTGATAGAAACACTGACCCAAGCAATTTATAGAAGGAAGAATTTATTTGAGCTTACAGTTCCAGGGGAATTACAGTCCGTCTTGGTGGGGAGGCATGGTGACAGAGGTGGCTGGAGAGGAGGAACAGAAGCTAAGCTCTCACTTTGTCACATAGGCACAGGAAGCAAGAGAGAGTGACTGGAGATCTGGCAGGGCTTAAGAACTCTCTAAACCCACTCCCAGTGACATGCTTCCTCCAGGATGGCCACATTTTCTAGGACCTCCCAAAACAGCTCCACCATATAGGGACAAAATGTCCAAATACTTGGAGCCTATGGGGGACATTTTCATTCAAACCATCACATTTGAGTCTATAAGTTTCTGAATTTTACAAATAGAGATACAGAAAGGTCTAAATAACAAATGGCTGAGTGTGTGCAAGAATTTAGAGTAACTTTGCTTTCTGTGCAGCTCTTGGTACTCAAATATGTACAGAACAAAGATGTTTTTATGAGGTATCACAAAGCTCATTTGACCCGACGCCTTATATTAGACATCTCTGCTGATAGTGAGATTGAAGAGAACATGGTGGAATGGCTAAGAGTAAGTAAAACAACTTTTTTACATTTTTAAATAAATAAATAAATAAATAAATAAAGTGGGGAATGGGGGTCCAAGAGGTCAGAGAACAGCTTTCAGGAGTCTGTTCCTTCCTTCTACTGTGTGGGGCCTGAGGATGGAACTCATGATCAGGCTTTGTGGCAAGCTGGTCCATCTTGCTGACCTAAAAAATTTTTTATACATGAGTGCTTAGGTAATATGTTTTGGTGTTACTGTTAATGTCAAAGAAATAGGGGTCATTTATAAGAATATATGATTAAATATATAAAATCGTAATGTCTAAAATTTATTTTCTTAATAAATTTTAGTAATGCACCTTTCCTGCTTTGACTGTTGGACTTTCATTTGTGTCCATTCTCAGTCTGAACTGGTATAAAACAAGGACTACATGAACTATCCTGTTTATTTTCAAACGTAATATGTATTATATGATAATATTCTAATAAAGGAGAAAAAGTTATTAATCTAAGGGGGAATGACGTACAGTTCAGTGATAATTTATCTAGCATGCACAAGGCTCTAGGTTCAATCCCCAGAAAAATAATAATGATTTTCCTAGTAACATATCCGATTTCATATTTATTATTTCTCTGTCTTTAATTTTCTTAGGAAGTTGGCATGCCCGCAGATTATGTAAACAAGCTTGCTAGAATGTTTCAGGACATCAAAGTATCTGAAGACTTGAACCAAGCTTTTAAGGAAATGCACAAAAATAATAAGCTAGCTTTACCAGGTATTATAATTACATATAAGTATTTCTTAAGCTTTTTCAAAAAAAACAAAACTTTGTTTTCCAGTAATTTAAAATAAATGTCAAGGATTACATTTTATATTTTCTGGTTTTTCTTTCCTGTAGCTGATTCAGTTAATATAAAAATTCTGAATGCTGGTGCCTGGTCTAGAAGCTCTGAGAAAGTCTTCGTCTCACTTCCTACTGAACTGGAGGATTTGATACCTGAAGTAGAAGAGTTTTATAAAAAAAATCATAGTGGTAGAAAATTACATTGGCATCATCTCATGTCAAATGGAATTGTAAGTAGATGAGGTGTCAGCTTGGGTGGTCAGAAGGCCCCTCAGAAGTCCCTCAAGGGAGTGTTCTCTCATAGCTGAAGACAGGGCGGGAATAGTGGATCTGTTCCTTGGTGTTCGGGCTGCAGTGTCATGCCGACCTTGCTGCCTAGTCTGATCCCCCACTGTGTCTTTTTCCTGTGAATGGAAAGGAAAGGAGAAGGTGAACTTTCTTCAAGGCAGCTGATAAAATTTTTCTTCTTTATAGTTACTTGTCGCATATTAGACAGAATGCAGTCACGTGGCCACATTTTGCTACAGGGGAAGCTGGGAATGAGTTGTTTAGGTCTGCCATGTTAGAAAGAAGAATGGGTCTTGTAATCAACTAACAATTTTTTTTTACATAGACTCTCCTGTCACATTTTACTAGATAGATATTATAGTAAACCTCATGAAGAAATCGTCATTAAAATCTACTTTATGTATTACAGATAACATTTAAAAATGAAGTAGGTCAATATGATTTGGAAGTAACTACGTTCCAGCTGGCTGTGTTATTTGCATGGAACCAAAGACCCAGAGAGAAAATCAGCTTTGAAAACCTAAAACTTGCAACTGAACTCCCTGATGCTGAACTTAGAAGGACTTTATGGGTTTGTCTGTTTTGTTTTAAAATGTGCCCTGACACATAGCTAGAGATTGCTTTGTAATAATTGGATTTTTGATGGTGCTGGGCCTTGTACAAATTAGGCATGCACTCTACCACTGAGCTACATACCTTAGCCACTGTAAAATTTTGAATTCATGATACTCTAAATATTAACTTTTAACCAAGTAAATGAGGTATTTATGAATCAAAAAGATTGAAAATCAGCAAATTACCACGGCAGAAAAGAGAGATTGATTGATTGATATTTAAATGTTATGATTAAAAGTCCAACCACAAGACATACCTTTTTTACTTTTTTTTTTTTTTTTTTTTTTTTTTTTTTGGTCTTTTGAGACAGGGTCTCCCTGTAGCCCCAGCTGTCCTGGAACTCACTATGTAGAGTTCAGGCTGGCCTTGAACTCACAGAGATCCGCCTGCCTCTGCCTCACAAGTGCTGGGATTAAAGGTATGCACCACCATGACGGGCCCTTATTTTTATTTTTTAAATATTTTATTTATTATTTTTATTTTATGTGTACGAGTGTATTATTGCCTGTATGGATATAAGTGCACCCATCTCATGTAATGCCTATGGAGGTCAGAAGAGGGTGCTGAAATTCCTGGAAATGGAGTTATAGATGGTTACTAGCTGCAGTGCCATGTGGGTGCTGGGAATCGAACCCGGGTCCTCTGCAAGAGCAGTCAGTGCTCTTAACCACTGAGCCATCTCTCTAGCCCCCCCCTTTTTTTTAATGTATATGCATATTTTGCCCAGATGTGTGGTATAAGTCTACCACGTGTGTGTAATACTCATGGAGGCCAGAAGAAGGTGTCAGATTCCCTGGAACTGGAGTTGTAACTTGTTGTTAGCTGCTATGTGGGTCCTGGGAACCGAACCTGGGTCCTCTGAGAGAACAACCACTACTCTAAACTGCTGAGCTGTGTCTCTAGCTCCATTTTGTTTAATTTTTTACACTGAAAGTATGTTCAAAGATTTTATTACCATAAATCTAAGAATTAGAAAACTAGTTCTTTTGAATATATTTAAAATGTGCTCAGTGTTTTCTTGCTTATAATTCCATCTACCCTACTGAATAAGATTATTATTATAAATTTCATAATAAATTGTTTTCAGTGCTGCTGTATAACTGGCAGGCAGTACTTACTATAATCCTAATTCTTACTATATACAGTAAAAGAAGACATTACTGTTTCCTCATAACTAGCTCTTTTGTCCTCCTCTCTTTCTCTTAGGCTTTTACGTTGTTACATGCGTGTGGTAGTGCATAAACATTTGGATTGTAAATTCGTGTCTAGAATTCTTTCCTACCTATAGTGGAAAATTGATTTGAATATTCCATACCACTTATAGATGTTGTTTTCTTTTTATTCTTAGTCTTTAGTAGCTTTTCCCAAGCTCAAACGACAAGTTTTGCTATATGAACCTCAAGTCAGCTCACCCAAAGACTTTACAGAAGGCACTCTCTTCTCAGTGAACCAGGACTTCAGTTTAATGTGAGGCTTCTGTTGGTTGGTTTAAAATAAAAATACCATGTTTAAATTTTAGTGCTTTGCTTTTATCAGAATAATTGTTTGCCTTATGTAATATTAAAACTGTGTTACATCATCACTCTAAATTATGTCATTTTGATTTTTATTTATGTTATGGGCCAGAAAGTACAGTGGGCCCAGAAGGTGCTCTAATCCAGGCAAAAAACCTTTTCTTAAAGATCCATTCAAATAAAACCTCATATAGTTAATATTATTTTCATAACTACATAAATCATATTATTATTGTAAGGAATACTCACTAGTCAGAAGCAGTTGTATCTTGTTTGAAGGAATTAGAAAGTTTTTTGTTGTTTTTGTTTTGTTTGAAACAGGGTATTGCTAGGTAGCCCAGTGTCTTAGTTTGTTTCTTCATTGCTGTGACAAAACACTTTGACCAATACCAACTTGGGGAGGAAAGGGTTTATTTGTCTTACATCTCCCAGGTCACAGTTCATCAGGGAGCCCAAGGTAGGAACTCAGGGCAGGAACCTGGAGGCAGGAGCTGGAGCACAGGCCATGGAGGAATGCTGCTTACTGGCTCGCTCCCCTGGCCCCTGCTCAGCCTGCTTTCTTATGCAACACAGGCCCACCAGTGGGCTGGGTCCTCCCACATCACTCATCAAGAAGATGCCCCTCAGACACGGCCACAGGCCAGTCCAAAAGAGGCAATTCTCCAATTGAGGCTCCCTCAACCCACGTGTGTCAAGTTGACACTAAAGCTATCCAGCATACCTAGGCTGGCCTTAGCCAATAAGGATTTTCCTGTCTCAGTTTCCCAAGTGTGCTGCGATTACAGGTAATAGGCATGCACCACCATATCAGACATAGCATTCGTTTACAAAGTTAAATGTGGGTTATGTTACTTATCCTTTAAACAGTCCTGAATATTCATTTTTAAAATATTTCTAAAAATTTCAGACATTGTTGCTATAACATGATTTTCAACCCTTTCCTGTATTTTACAGAAAAAATGCTAAAGTTCAGAAAAGGGGAAAAATCAACTTGATTGGCCGCTTGCAGCTCACTACAGAAAGAATGAGAGAGGAAGAAAATGAAGGAATAGTTCAACTAAGAATATTAAGAACCCAGGTTTGTGTTAATAAGATGAATATTTGATTTTTTTTTTTTTTTCCTTTCTTTTTTCCAAGACGTGGTCTCACTTATTTAGCCCTAGCTCTCCTGGAAATTACTTTATAGAGCAGGCTGGCTTTGAACACACAGATATCCACTACCTTCTGAGCACTTGAATTAAAAAAGTGGGGCTGGAGAGATGGCTCAGCACTTAAGAACACTGACTGTTCTTGCAGAAGACCTGGGTTTGAACCAATTTCAAGCTTTTAATTCCACGATAGAGTGCAATTAGGAAAATTAATTTGTTTAGAACCAAAAAAAAAGTCCTCTGTAAGAACATTTCTAATCATTCCAAGAATTTTCCCTCAGGCCAGACTAGTATTTCTTTTTTTTTTAATTTAATTTTATTTGTTTTCTTTATTTTTTTTATTTTATGTGTGTATGCGTGTATTGCCTGCATGTAGGTAAGTGCACCCGTGTCGTGCAGTGCTGGTAGAGGACAGAAGAGGCTGTCAGATTCCCTGGAACAGGAGTTACGGAGAGTTGTTAGCTGCCATGTGGGTGCTGGGATTCGAACCCAGGTCTTCTGCAAGAACAGTCAGTGTTCTTATCCGCTGAGACATCTCTCCAGCCCCAAAATTTATTTTATTTGTATGAGTGTTTTGCCTGCATGTTTATAAGTGCACCATGTATGTGTAATGTCCTCAGAGGCCAAAAGAGGGCTTCAGATCTCCTGGAGCTAGAGTTATGAACAGTTGTTAGCCACCATGTGGATGCTGGGAACTAAACTCAGATCCTCTGAAAGAGCAGCTAGTGCTCTTAACTGCTGAGCCATCTCTCCATGTCCCTTCTTGACTGCTTTTTTTGTTTTTTATTTTATTTATAACAGGTAAATATAACAAGTAAATATAACAGGATATATTTATAACAGGATAAATAGGTGGGGGGGGAGACACAGAGAGAGGGGGAGAGATAGAGAGAGAGAGAGAGAGAGAGAGAGAGAGAGAGAGAGTGAGTGTTAGACATGGAGATCAGTCCTGTATCGACATTCAGCTGCTGCGTAGGAGAGGAGTACATAAGCCCAGAGTACCAGAAAATGTGTCCTTTCACTCTGGCCAGCATTGGGAAGCAAAGGACAAAAGGGAAGAAAAAGGATAAGTTAGGCCTTTTTTCTGAGTCAGGACTCCTGGTGGAGAATGGGGAATGCCTTGCCTAATGTCACCATTGGTTAGTGTTGGCCTGTTTTAGGTCTGTAAATGAGACCAGGCTGTGCTTTTCTCTTTATTCAACATGGTAGAATATTTTCTTGTATGACTAGAGTGAATATAACTTGAAGTGGATTTTTTCAAGTATTAATGCTGAGTTCACCAATTTTCTATATTTATATTAGAATATAAATTTCTAATAAAACTAGGAATATTTTTGGAGCTTTATAAAATGATTCTCTGTTTTATCAAATAGTTGAGAAAGATTGAGAAACTTCAACTAGTATTGAGAAATGTTCGTGTTCATGAAGAAATTCAGGATGTGTTCTGGTTTATAGCTGTAACCAGCTGTAACGGGATAAATTCCAGATGGATGAAAGAGTCGAAATGGAGTTAGGGGGTATAATCATGCCACCGCCCATAATTATGTCCTCAAGTAGCCAAAGCTCTCTCTAGGTAACTGACATTCAGACCTTATTTCTTCCCCATCTTACTCCACCCGCCCCATTGTGTGATGTTCTCATAAATAAATAACTGGGTATTTTGAGGGTGAGAAGAATTCACTTAACCTCTTAGTGACACTGAAGGTATTGTCACAGCTACATAGTCATGGTTCTTGACATCAGGTGGTTTAACTCACTCTTGGGAATTTTGTTTCCTGTGGGTATCTCCTACTATCTGTAGCAGATGAACTTTGGATTCTTTTTTTTCCAGTTGATATGAGCCATGTGGCCCTTTCTTTGCATTTACTGCCCTTCCCTCCTTTCCTACTGAGCTCTAGAGTCCTTTGAGACTCTACCACATATTCTTTGTGACCCCTTGGCCTACTTGACACACTGTTCTAATTATCTGCCAGTGAAGGCTCACTCTGCCTTACCACTAAAGGCCTTGTTGTGGGTCCATTACCTCTGAACTCTGTCATGTGAAAACTGAGGAGACTCAGGACATAACTATCTCCAGTGTACCATGCTGCTCCACAGTGACCTCCGGCATGTCGTTTATTTATTTATCACATTTATTCATTTTGTGGGCTAGGGGCAGTGCATTTGGAGGTCAGAGGACAACTTTAGGAGTCACTTCTCTTCTTTCACCATGTGGGACCTGGGGATCAAACTCAGGTCGTTATTCTTGGTAGCAGTTTGCTGGACCATCTCACTAGCCCCCAAGTGCTGTTTTCCTCTTGGCTTCTCCAACAGCATTACTGACTGTACCCTAACTAGAAGAAGAGAAGTTGGGCCATTAGCAACTGTCCTTTCTTTTCTGTCCTAATTCCTGTAATCTTCAAGTCTCTAAGGAGATAGACTTTACTTCTTTGACACAAAGCCCTATGTATAATCTATGATCAGAAGTGTGATACTGGTGGGTGAGGTGGCTCAGCTGTTGGTTACACAAGCCTAGTGACCTAAGTTTGATCCTAGGAATCCATGTAAAGGTAGAACTAAAAATAGTGTCTATAGTAAATATTAATGTAACTTACTAATCTGGTAAACATGTAGAGTAGTTCTTACTGATTTTTTAGGACATACACCAACTGTTTTCTTCTATTTTGCAAAGAAATAATGGAATACTAAGGGCAAATTTAAAATTTTTTATTACATTTATTGTGTGTGTGTGTGTGTGTGTGTGTGTGTGTGTGTCTGTAGGTCAGAGGACAGCTTTCAGGAATTGGTTCTCTTTCCACTATGTAGGTCCTAGGGATCAAACTCAAGTCATCACGCTTGACAGCAACCAAGTGCCTTTATCCACTAAGCCATATCACCAGCCTTTAATTAAATTTATTTATTTATTTGTGTGTGTGTGTGAGTGTGTGTGCATCTGTGTGTCTGAGTGTCCAACCCCTACCACAGTGCATGTGAGGTTAGAGGACAACCTGAGGGAGTTGGTTCCTTCTGCCATGGAGATTCTGCAAATTGAAATCGGGTTTCAAACTTGGCTTCTAGCACCTTTACCTCAGAATCATCTCACCTACCTATTTTGTTGTATCTTAATTGATGTTTAATACAATACCAAGTTTCGTACATATTGTGTTCCCAGAGAATATAGATTTAGTTTTTACTGTGCATAATGTAGAAAAAAAGAAACTAAAGGAAATATATGAGAACATTAGAGAAGTTATGTGTTCATTTTTACTGTCTTTAAGAATATTTGTAATAAGCAGATTTTCTTTTATGGGTATGAAAAAGTATGTATTTGTTAAGTAAATATATCGCTCCCCAGGTTAATGCCCAGTGGTTGTTGTGCACTCTCCTACATGTTGAATAGAAGCAGGTATATGGAAAAACTCATTTTGTTACTTATACTAGTTTAATGTATTAATACATTCATTTTTATTTTAGGAAGCCATCATACAAATAATGAAAATGAGAAAGAAAATTAGTAATGCTCAGCTGCAGACTGAATTAGTAGAAATCCTGAAAAACATGTTCTTACCACAGAAGAAAATGATAAAAGAGCAAATCGAGTGGCTGATCGAGCACAAGTATATCCGGAGGGATGAATCCGACATCAACACCTTCATCTACATGGCATAGTTCCACAGCCTGGACCAGAGCCTAGAGTGTGGAGGGCTTGGGCAGAAGGTGGCCCAGTGTGAGCTGGAGAAAGGTTTATTTGGACTTGGAATACATAAATGTTAAACTCTCTGCCTTACCTTATAAAATAACTGTATTTTGCCAATCACATTACTTAGCATGATGGCATTCCCTTCATGTGCACACTCTTAACAGCATGCTGTTTTGTGGAGAAAATTGCATTCATGAAGAGCCCATTATGAACTTCTCAAAGTCAATTCAATTTTTACCCACCAAGAGAAATACACTTTGGAGGGTGAGGGTGGAGTTCTTGTTGTGCTCCCCCCCCCCTTCTTTTTTCCCCTCTAAAAAAATTGTACTTTCTCAAGGAAGGATATTCAGATATTCATGCACTGAAAAATGCTTTTATCTTTTGTTTTTGAAAAAACTAGATTAAAACCAGAAGTCACACTCTTGGCTTCTTTTGTTAAAGAGTGAACTTGTCAACACGTTGGGAGAGGCAGATTCTAGCTAGGCAATAGTAAGTGTTTCATGGTATCAAACACTGCTTTTAGTTTAAGAACTGAAGTTTAATGAGTGCCCTGAAAAGGGTATTAAATATCTCTACCTTACAAATCTTGATTTTCATTAAGCAAGAGACTGCTGTTTAGTTGTTTGATAAATGATAAGGAGTTTGGTTGGTGGGTTTCTTTAAATTCTTGTATGGCTGGAGAGCTTGTTTTGAAAAAAGTGAAGTTTATAATGATTGCTGCTTCGGTTGTTAAAAAGTTTATGGAAATAGATAAGTCATTGGTTGCAGTCAGAGTAGCAAAGCAAACACATTGTGTTTACTAATATGCCTAAAATTTATACAACTAATTTTTATTATGCCATTCTTAAATTTATTGAAAAGAATGCAGAAATCTCCTGCCCTGACAATACAGTAAGGGAATTCCTGTAGCATAGAATAATTTGGTCTTTGAAAGTGTCAGGATTAGGGATTTAAAGCCTCTGGTTCCTGGAAAGACAGTCTCTTAAAAAGTAATATTTACCAGTCACCTAGGAGAAGGGAAATGACAACCCAAGACCCGGAAAGCAGACTCAGCGCTATTAGACTCTAATATGAGCAGTAAACTCGCCAAATATGTACATATATATTTATATATTTTAAAAATAAACATTTTTAAAATGTTCAGAAGGCAACACTTACCTGGTTCCTCTCAGTTAATCCAAAGCAGTGACTTCCTACTTCCCAGAGCAGTGGAAATTTCAGAACTTGAGGACTTAACTATTGAAAAGAGAAAAATTTATTCCCCGTCAGGAAAAAATGGCTCAATGTGGATTTCTGTTCATTGTGGTGCACGTTTCAAGTTTTCTTTGAAATTATTTTATATCTTGATGTTAAGTAACATCTTAAAGTATGATTTTGGAGCTAGTCGAAAATGGAGTGTTGAGACACATACAGTATTACCCTACCACAGCAGCTTTGAAGAGCACTGTTGCGGAGTCTGCCCCAGCCTCACGAGCTTTGTGAGCTCCCTGCTGGAAAGAAGAAAAGGAAATGTAAAACATCGAAGGTTTTGCTAATTGTAGTCAAACATCTGTTCTGAAACTAGTAGGAAAAGGAAATTCATCTGTAATTTAAGACCTCACACTGCAACTCTAAGACAGTAATTATTAGAACTTACTGTGAAGAGCTAACAGTGCCCGGTTTTCTTCAGTTAGATGACTGCTCACAATGGGCACAGTCGGAGTTTAGAAGAATAATTTTATAACAGCCGGGCCCTTCTGTTTATAGCTTGGTGTCAGCATGTTTTCATGTCCCAGTACAAGAATGCCAAAGGAGGAAACAGTCAAAGGAAAAATTGTACGCCATTCCTTAATGTTTAAGACTTGTCATTTTAAACCATATTTTTTCTCAGAACTTCTTTGAAATTTCTAATCTTTTTGGTCATTTAAGAATGAGAGCCATTATGTTCTGATTTATAAAGGCAAATTTAATGCAAAGTGGGTAACACTAAATCCATAGCAAAGTTTTCTATTAAATTTTTATAAATTTTTTAATAGTTAATTATGTCCTAATTGTATTTTGAGGGAATGAACAGCAGCGAACACTGTAGACTTTAACAGCTTTCATCTTTGTTTCATATATATATATATAAATTTGCCTACACTTTGGTGTTTATCAAAACCATTTAGCTGACAAGGTGCCTATACCATTGTTGAGATTTTCTTTATATTTTAGCAATAGATTTGCTAATTCAAGAAAAAAAGAATTGGAAATGAATCTTAAACCTGGAGGTCCAGAATCACAGTTTTTGCCCTTGGCAGCTCTCTCTCTCCTGTGCATGTAGCATGAGCGTGGAACCCGGCACAGGTCAGGGAAAGGAAAACCAAGCCCTCCCACCCCACCACCAGAACCCCATTTTTTAAATGAGCAATGTGTCAGGTGGGAGCAATGTGTCAGGTGGGTGACTCAAGAATTCATTTCCATTTTGAGCATTAACCATCTAATTTAAAGATGAAACCCCCTGAAATGGCCAGAGTAAGTAGAAATAAAACAAAATTCCACAGTGAAAACACAGAACACATTTGATGCTCATAATTAGACAAGTGTGAAACCATCATTGTTCCAAAATTTTTAATAAGGATCTGGAACTAAATTCTGGTCTTCCAATTTTTACATTTATTGAAGGAGGTTCCTGAGTTCATTGATGTCCCTTGCTTTTATTTTGTGCGTAACTATTAAGATCTCCAGAAATGAGCTGTTAGCATTCTTATTTTCACTTTTCATTAAATTTAATACATAATATGACCTTAGTAATTAAGAGGTATTTTGCATTATTTGCAGTAGGATATCATTAGCCCTGCTCCAAGGGCAAATTTTTAAAATTCAATTTGGTGAAAGATTTGCTAGTTTTACAGAGAGATTTGCTATCATAAACTCAAGCTGGTTTTTCTATTTTCATGTAAATGACTGGGAGGCTGTCATAAATTCTTCAAGGTCATGGTTGTGAGATACATATGATATGAGAGTTTTCCTGTCATCTACATTATACATGGTCTGGAGTGTTGAACAAAGTTGAGTTCCTAAGGTGTAATCTACCCTCTCGGTCTCTACAGTTTTGAATGTGTGCCACTACATACTGAGATGATATCGCTGTGCAATTTTAAATGGTAGCAGTTTATGTATGCAGTAGGCCAAAATATTTTGATGAACTGCTTAATTTTTGGATTTTATTTTTTAAGTTGTATAATTTATTTTCTTGCAAAATAAAAATGTAATATAAAAGCTTTCACCTATCCAGAAAATATTCATGTTCTACTATAAAAATTTTTTATTTAATGAAGACTTTTGGCTGGAACCAGGTGTGGTGATACATGCCTTTAATCCCAGCACCCAGGAGACAGGGACAGGTAGATCTCTGTGAGTTCAAGGCTATCTGGGGTACATAGGACTAGCACAGTTTTTTGGGGGGGGAGCAGGGGGCAGGGCACAGTGGGTGCACCTGTGTAGTCCAGCAACTTGAGAGGCTGAGGCAGGAGACCTGTACAAGCCAAGAATATTTAAGACCAGGTCAGGCAACATTTTGAGAATGTATCTATTTTAGAGTAGGTATATTTATATATTTTAATATATATCAGTAAATATTAGGGCTGGCGAGATAGCTCAGCAGTCAAGAATATTTGCTGCTCTTGTAGAGGACCCTGGCTCAGTTCCTAGCACCCACATGGTGGCTCACAACTTACAATGACTCCAGTTCCTGGGAATCTGATGCCATCGTCTGACCTCCACAGGCATTGCACACATGGTGCACTTATGTACATGCAGGCAAACCAGACATAAATTTTTTTAAAAAAATTTTAGGCCTTTTGCACAAGCCTTTCCAAAGCCCCATGAAGCACTCAAGGAATTCTGGATGAGATGAACATCCTAACCAAAAAGTGAAAGTCAGGCTGTAGAGATGGCTCAGTGGTTAAGAGCACTGGCTGCTCTCTTGCAGAGGACCCAGGTTTGGTTCCCAGCACCCACATGGTGGCTTACAGCCATTCAGAACTCCCATTTCCTGGGGATCCAATGCCCTCTTCTGCCCTCTACAGGCAATGCGTGCATAGATAGACTTACATGCAAGAAAAATACATAAAACTAAATTTTTTAAAAAAACTGAAATGTTCCAAAACTAATACCGGGGACCCCTAATATTAAAAGTTGGATCAAGTGCTGATAAAACTGAATGCAAAGGAAGCCAGTGTTGCACATAGTAGGCCCAAATGCATACTGACTGAATGAAACATGTCTGCCTGAGGGCAGAGTTCTATATTCCAAGTTCTAAATGGGGAGATTTTAGTCCCATTTTTCCAGTATTTGCAAGAGAATGAAAACTAACTCCTGTCCCTATGCCTCTGTTTTGACTAGAAGAGTCCGGAGTGGGGATCTTGGGCACCTCTTAAGTACATGACTGGAGCGAGCAAAGCAAAGAGCCGAGCCCCTCTTAGCTTAGCCATTTTTAATAGAGCTCTGATTCAAATGCCCATCTGCTCCACAGTTTGCTAGTCCAGAGAAGAGCAGGCTTCCCTGGGTGTTGATGCTCTCGCTTTTTTCTTATTTCATGTGTATGAGTGCTTTGCCTGCATGTATAGATTGTGCATTTGTGTGTCCCTGACGTTGGAGGTCAGAAGAGGACGTCAGATCACCTGGAACTGGAGTTACGGCCTGTTGTTAGCCACCATGGGGGTGCTGAGAACTGAACCCAGGTCCTGTGTTTGAGCAGCCAGTGCTCTTCACCGAGCCGCCTCTCCAGCTTTCGCTCTTGCTGTTTTCGTTGGATAGTTGCCTGTGTGCTGCCTTACCCCCTTCATTCTCTGCAGGTGGTCCTGCTTTGAAAGGAGAGTGTGGGGGGACATTTCATAACTTGCTTTCCCCCCACCTCAACTTTACCTCCCTGTAGTGTACTTACCTGTCAGCCTTCCTCAGTGGAAGAGATACCTCACTTTTTTTTTTTCTTTTTGAGACAGGGTCTCCCTACAGCCCCAGCTGTCCTGGAACTCTATGTAGATCAGGCTGGCCTTGAACTCACAGAGATCCACCTGCCTCTGCCTCCCGAGTGCTGGGAGTAAAGGCGTGCACCACCACGACCGGCGATACCTCACTCTTTTTTAAAAGACAGGATCTCACTCTGTTGCCCTGGCTGGCCTGGAACTCAGAGATCAGCCTGCCTCTGCTTTAGTCAAGGGCAAGTATTCAATATCTTTTGTTACCTAACCATCTTATCGAGCCTACTGTTTTACTCCCTGAATGTACCTCTCCCAGGACTTGTACACATCTTCCTTTAGCCTACAATAGTTGCTGTCAGTCTTTCCGTTAAACAGCACATTTATCCATTGGGAGCTTATTGAGAGTGTAAGTTCTTGAGGTCCACCCCAAGCAGGCCCAGCCATCTGAATTTTAACAAGCCCCCCCAGGAGATGCTGATGCATAAGCGTTTAAAAAGAAAAGAGTCTTTTCCTTTCATTGGTCCTGCTGTGGCCTTTTCTTCTGCAAGAGTCGTCCTCCAGTCTTCAGCTTAGTAGATGTTGGTCTGTCTCTCCACTGCTTTGCTTCCAAGGTTGTTGGGGTTCTCTGTTGTGCAAGTAGAAGTCTCTTCACGTCCGGATAGCTCACGAGCTCAGAAACCATGTGCTGCAGATTCCTTTCATAGCAGAGTGCCTTCCTGGCATCCTCCCTGACTCTTCTTTTAAAGTGCTCACCACAAATACATGCCCTCTGGCACAGGAGCTACCAGGTTTTAATCAGGCGTTGTCTGATAGTCTGATAGAAGCCCACCGCCCTATGTAAATGAGGCATCCTAAAAGTACCTATCAGCTAAGGCTTCTTCTACTGTCTCTACACTATAAATAGTCCTAGTTTTACCCCAATAAAGTTGGAGCTGGATCACTTAGACTTGGAGCTGGAGCTGAATCACTGAGATCTGAGCTGAGTCACTGTGTTGAGCTGTAACGCTAAATCCTGTTATCCAGTCTCCCCGGGGGGCGCTATTCCTCCATCACCGACTCACGGACACCCTGGCTTTCGCCGTTCCTCGTTCGCTTCCCGTGTGGTCCAAGTGGCCAGTGGACCTCACATCCTGAGGAAGGTATATGGGTGAAATAGGGACGGGATCGACTGAGTAGACCTCAGTAGCGGAGGAGCTTTCACTGCCCAGGAGTGCACGCTGGGACCCTGAGAGCCCAGCGCATGCTTGCCTGTACAAGGTTGTCTGTAACCTCTCTAGTGCTTAATCAGAAGGCCTGGTGCTTTGATCTTGGACTTCCACAGCTCCAGAACTATGAAAATACATTAGTATCATAAAAATATGTCACCCAATCTCTGGTATTGTAGCAGCAAACATTAAAACAGGCACAGGGTAGACATTTCCTTTATGAAAGGTAGAATTTGCAAGGATTAAAGAGGTCACTATCACACAGATTTGAAACACAGAGGGAGGGGCTGGAGACATGGCTCAGCAGTTATAAGAGGACTGGGGTTCAGTTCCCAGCACCTACATGGTGGCTAACAACCATCTGAAATTCTAGTTCCGGGGGATTTGAGGCCCTTGGTGGCCTCCATGGGCATTGCATAACAGGAATGCACTTACATACATGCAGGCAAAACACTCAAACACATTTAAACAAAGAAGATCTACCTAAGGACCAGGAGATGGCTCAGCGGATAAAGATGCTTGTTGCACAAGTCCCATGACCTGAGTTCAATTGCTGGAGCCCAGGTAAAGGGAATATGAGAAACAACTCCACACACACATCATGGCATGTTCCCCCACTCCCCACATTGCATGCACATGCAGTTTTTAAAAGTAAAGGGAAAAAAAAAAAAAAAGGCCTAGGGGAGATAGCTCAGTTATTAATGTGCTCAAGTTCCGTAGCTAGTACACATTTTTTAAAGACTGGCATAGTGACTTAGGCTTGTGATCCCAGCATTGGGGAGGTGAAGCAGGAGAGACCCCTGCTCCTTGGCCAAGCAGCCTAGCCTAGCCTGAGTTCAGGACAGTGAGAGACCCTGTCTGGGGAAAATATGGAAAAAAAGGTGGGACAGTACCCGTGAACAACACCGGAGTTTGTCCTCTGGCCTCCATGCACACACAACACACAGTATATAACAAGGTCAACTATGACTTCAAGGACTGCGATGGGCTCTGGCCACACCTACACTTCCCTCAGTTCTGTCCTCTCCATTAGTGGCTCTGCACCAGGGAATCCTTCCTTCACTTCTGTCTTCCGTCCTGGGTAGCAGCGTTTCTGCTGGTATTAAATTCTTTAAAATCCTGTCAATCACTGTATGTCAGGACATCCATGCTATAGAGTGTTCTCCTCAAGACCCTTCCTGGATAACCCATCTGCATTTCTGGCCTCTGTTGAGGTGATTAATCATCATGACAGTCGTTTGTCCAGATGGCATTTTGTGTACACCTTCTTGTCTTTTACAGGGTACTTAGGCTGAAAGTATTTAACATTATTAAATCTTGGTTGATATTTTTGTTTTAGACAAGGTCTCATAGCCCAGGCTCACCTAAGCGCAATACGTAGACAGGGATGACCTGGAACTCCTGATCCTCCTGCCTCTGCCCCCCTCCCCACCAAGTGCTGGGATTATAGGTGTGTGTCAACACACCTACTTAATATTGGCTATTTTTCTCTTTCCATTTCCTTGTGTGTGTATATAGTTTGATGTATGTGGGCACACGTATACCTGCATGCATATGTGTGTACATGGAGGCCAAGGTTAATGTCATGAATTGTCCTTCGCTCTTTGTATTAGGGTTCTCTTAAAGGAACAGAACTGATAAAATGAATATGTACATGGGGATTTATTAGATCAGCTTACAGGATAGCATCTGAGTAGTCCAACAGTGGCTGCGCCATGCTGGAGAGGCTGAGAACAGGTAGTTGCTCGGTTCATGAGGCTGGATGCCTCAGTAGTTCCAATCTGGTGCTGAAGGCCTGGAGGATTCCTGGAGTCTGCTAATATTTAGTCTATTGGAATTCAAAGGCGCTGCCTCTATCAGTGGAGGAATGCCGCAGCAGCAAGGGGAAACCCACCAGTGAGAGGGAAGGTAAAAAGTGACAAGCTCTGGCTGCCACGCCTCAGGCTGCCTTCAGAAGGTAACACCCACGTTTAGGCTGAGTCTTCCAGCTTCAAATGATCCGGTCATGAAAGTCTTTCATTTCAGTTAATCCCTGATCTAGTCAAGTTGACAACTAAGATTAGCCATCA